GCCCCCTGGTGGGCTGAGCTGGCCACACACACACACACCACTCTCTCTCTCTCTCTCTCTCTCTCTCTCTCAAATAAATAAAAAAAAAAATTTAAAAAAAAAATGTAAAACTTTGCTACTGTTTATGCTTGTCTTGACTAGTTCTTTGTTCAGGACAAAAAGAACCTAGAAAGTACCTCTACAAGGAGTCTCTAGCAACCCAGAGACCCCACAACCCAGTAACAGTTGCTGTAATGATAATTGGAATTAAAGAGACAATACAAATTTACAAGCCAAAGTTTTAATTGTAAAGTAAAAAAATTAAGGAAAAGGGGTCACCAGACTGGGCCTGAGAAAGTTCATGTGTTTTGGTGGTGGAAAAGTGTGAAATTTGTTTATCTATGGTCTCAGTCTTGGTTTGGTTAGTAGGAGAGTGTGGCCACCCACAGTGAGATGATGGAAAAAGTCTTATTTATAGGCAAAAAGGTGACCTATTCACAAGTGTAAGGGCACTTGTGCAAGTCAGAGGCAATGGCCGCACACTTGTGGGTGAAAGGGAATTGCCCTGGTTCAATTCCCTTGATGTGTCTTGATGCTGTAGTTTTCATTTCATGTGTCTTGATGCTGTAGTTTTCATTTCTAAAACTGAGGTTTTCCTTGTCTCCTTTTGGCCTATTTTTTGTTTCTTCCATCCTACCTTATTTTGGACTCCAGCTTGAAAAGGGCTGGGCTCTAATCATTATCTCAATCCTTTTCAATCATTAGCTCAGTCCTGGTTTCCTAGTTGCAGAGAATGAATTTTTATTACTTGAGGGGCAATCTCAGTCCTGTGGAGCTCAGCTAGAGTCCAAGGTGACCATAGGTTTAAGACTATGGAGACTATAGGCTAGGAAAATATAGGGCCACAAGCCTTGTTGTGCCAATTTTAGTCAAACACTCCCTAAATAATGTGCATATGTATAGAACTAAGAAAGATTTGACCAAGAGTTTTACAAAATGAAAATCAAGGGCTGGTGAGATGGCTCAGTGGTCTAAAGTACCTATTTATTTAGAACAAGCTTAGCAAAGCACAGGGACCG